ATTATTCTGAGAGGTAGCTGCTGCTGGGGAGAGACAGAGACAAAGCTGCATGCTGCAGGCCACCTCCCCTGGCCCTTCTGACAGCCCTTACACAGGCTGAATGAGAACTGTTACAAGACAGTGTCCTCCAGCATCCCACAAAGACCTGCTGGGGAAGCGGAGCCAAGGATCAGAAAGAAGCCATCAAAGGCGGCCGCCCACCACCCCCCTGGGTCAGGCAGCGAGTCATGAGGTGCTGGGCACAGCTGTATCAAAGGAGCTGACACCTCCAACGCCGGGGCTGGTGCTTGATCTGCTCCTCCAGGAAAAAGGAGATCAGTCAGCAGCTCTGCTGCGGGACACAAATGCCACAGACAGGCTCTGGATGGGTAAGGGCGGCTTTTAATCATGCGTTCGCCATTTTTAGCAACCACAAGTGCAAGAAGACAGCTCCCTGTGTGGCATCGAGGTGATTCCTTGCTCACATTCTTGCTCCTGGAAGAAATGACCAGGAGATCGAAGCTCACCTCTGGACCGAGAAGCTGGACAAGGCTGTGTGCTGGAGCAGGGCACATGGAAGAGGGATGCTGGGAGCCAGTCCTGTGCTTCATTCCCATGATTTAGCACAGCCCCCTGCTCTCTCAGTTTCATAAGCTCCTTAAGGGTCTGTTTTTACTATTCTAAACAGCCACTTTCCCATCCTTAAATAATTTCTATTTCACTCTATTTTAAAATTATTCCTTTCTCCTCACCACCATTTCCATGTTTCCTCTGCTATGTTCCCAGTGGGTCTGACACTTCTACATTAATAGAAGACAGTGACCTGTGATAAAAATACACTTTTATGGAGTGCAGGAAGCATTACAGGACCTGAGCAAGAAATAAAAATACAATAAAGTATATGAAAATCCAACTCCGATGGATTCATTGCCACAAAAACAGAAACAAGTTAGCAGACACCTTGGCAAAGACTCAAATCATTTTCTGTACAGCACTCATGGAAGCAGGCAAGGGTCAAAAGCTGTTGCAAAGTTATTTGGAAAAGGGAGAATAGTAACTGAACGGAGATGACACAGTTGGACATTCTGTATTTTGTAAGTTAAAACAACGAGAGGGAGATCAGAGCTGAAAAATCACCTGTGAGGGTTTATACAACAGCACTGGGTCTATTGGGCAGGAGCATCCCAGTAACAGATCAGAGAAGAGCAGGCTGTCTCCATACCACCCAGAAACCCCCCGCTGAAGTGCGGGCCAGGGACTCTGCACCCTCAGCCATGATGGGGAGAAGATGACAGAGGAGGGGAGAAGGTGCTGGGCAGCAGAGCTGGCATCCAGGGGCTGATCTGCAGTGCAAGCTTTGATCTTCCAGCTCACAGCCCGAAACTCAAAGCACTGCACTGGTGTGCTTCCAGCTCTCCAGGTCACACTTGGAACAGGAAAGGGTCTTTTCCACCAGCTCTGCCTTGACATACCCCAGCCAGAGTACACTGAGATATGCAGGACAGAAGGTAAAGAAGCCATCCAGGGCTGAACTGGAGAAATTTACTCTCATGAGCATCCACAAGCACAGGATGTGTGTTTGCAGCCGTACTGCTGACCTGAGTCCAAAGACCATACACTTCCTCTTGACTAGTAACAGTGATGAAGCTCCAGAGCATCTGCCTCCTTGCAGAGCCTTTTCCTTTGGGGCAGGAAATGCCTGCTTAGCCCTCAGGAATCGGAGATCCTGGAAGAGTCAGTGTAGGCAGCTGCCTTTTGTGGTAGCAAGACCAGCACAATCTTGGACCTTGAGGGCTTTTACTCCTGCTGGGAAAAGCAAAGGCTATGCAAAACTGTGGACTGGGGTTGCCTATTTCTCCTCATGGAAATTCAGCTGTCAGTCCCACAGAGCAGCAGGAAAATTCACATTAATTTCCACAGAGATTTTATCACCTCAGTCTTGGCATGGGAGAGGCATCTCCGCCCAGCTGTGAGCAAGCAAGCGCATTTTGCCGTCTTTTTTATGTAATCAGAGCAAATTCCTTGGAGATGAGTCACAGGGCTTCGAGGGTGTCCAGAGAGATGTCAAGCAGCCCCAAGTGTAAATCAGTGGCACACCTTGCTGAGAGGACTCACAGCTTGCTAGCAGGGCCATTTCCCCTGCAGACACCAGGCAAGGGAAGGGGCTCTCCGATGTCACCAGACAGACTCCTACACACGTGTGGCACCTCCAGACCCAGGACACTGCTGGTGTTTACATTTCCTCTGCAAAGACAGTGATGGTTTCAGGGTGGAGCTGGAGTGCTTCCCTGCAGCTGCTCTCTAGGCTTAAACACTGAAGATTTTTCGGACCTTCAGGCTGAAGGAGCTTGGCACTCAGTGAAGAGATCTGGACTTCAGAAACAGAGGTTCTGCCCCACCAAACCTGGTCAAACTGCAGGGGTTCCTGCCTGGGGTGTTCGTTATTGTGGAACAGCTGTGATGAGGCTAGGTTAAGCAAACCTACTCCTCTTCCCTGCCCAGGAATAAGTACTCCAGGCTCCATGGGTCTGCAGGCCAGAGGACAAAGATGATGCTTGCATAATTTCAAGGCATAGCTTGCTTTAGTGGCTCCTTTAGATGCTGAAAGACAGAGGAGGACCAAAATGGTCATAATCCCAGAGGTCCAAAGTAACACTGAGGAAAATGCTGTGGATGCCCTTTGGGCCTCTGGGTGTCAGAGCAGATGGAACAGACAAAGATCTTGGTGGAGCTGGGTTCTGAGTCAGTCTTCTTTCACTAATGCCAAAGGCAAGGTTTGGCACGAGGTACCGGTGCAGGCCAGCCTCCCAATTCGCAAAGTGCATGCAGATCTTTCTCCAAGCAGGGTGTGCAGGGTGCTTCCAGTCTGGAGTGGGCCAAATCTCTATTTGTGCATTCTTTGAGGGCAACTGCAGAAGACATAATCCAGCTATTATGCCCTTCACCTTTCAACTTCACCCTCAGGTGACTAACAATTACCAGCTACCATTAATATTAAATGGGAGAGAAAGAAATGTGATCCTCTCTCCGCTCTTCACATTCCACAATATCACAAACAATTTGTCATATTGGGAGGGGCAGAGGCAGGAGGAGCATTAATTATTGATACTTGGGAACAGATGGCTTTTCTTGTACCGGGGCAGTGAAATGTAAGAGGAGCTGTGGGTGAGGATGTGAGGATTAGATGGGCAGACACGTATCAGGTAACCAGTCTTCAAGTGGAACAGGAACCTTCCTCCTAGAACCAGCTCCTCTGGCCTGCAGAGCTCTCAACAGCAGCCCTGTCTGCAGAAACAAATCCAGTGACATCTGAACTAGTGAGGCTTCACAGAACCTTTCAACGCTCCCTCACCTCTGTACAGAACATCACAGACACGATGACTGACAGCTTCCAGACAGCAGAGGCCTGGCAAATCAGGAAATAACTGCTCTCTCCAGGAGACCTTACTGGTTGCATTTCAAGCATTCATCCTCATCTATCTGCCCTGTGCCACGCAATGTTTATTCCTGAGACCACATACAATGTCCAGGAGTGACCTCCTCCTGCCTTCCAGTGGCGTTTGGATTCCATTCAGGGTGCTGGTCTCCAAAATCAGAGATCCAAGTGATCTGGACCAGTGACTTCAACCAGAGCCTCTGTTATCCAATTCTTCCTGCCAACCAGCTGTAATGACTCAGAGCTGGGCCTGGGGAGCCCAGGGTGCTGTTTCTCTGTCAGTGGTTATAAGCAGATGCCCAAGGATGAGCCAGAACTGGGCAAGCCAAAGGTTATACCTCCTCTACTGCTGCAAAAATTATATTCCTTAGCTATTTTCTATTCAGGGATTTCACTGAGCAAGGCAGACTCTCTTGCTACCTCCACAGGCCCAGAAGGTACCTCAGGACCACGAAGTCCAGTCCCTTGATATACAAGGACTTCCTCATAGTCTTTTCCCAAACTCAGTGTGTTCTCCTGGCCTCTCCTGAGAGCTTGTTCCAAAGCCTCATTACTCTTGATAATTAGACACACTCTTCTCATTTCTCAAGCTGACTAATCACCGATTTATAATTTCTCTCAGTCTGCCTAGGGTCATGCAGCCTGTCAGAGTACTAAGACACGTACAATCTTGTGACTGGGAAAAACCCAACTTCCCAGCTTCCCTGCTAGTCTGGATCAATGGTAAAGGGCTTGAGATGAACAAATGGCAAGTGCCAGGAGGCAGCTACTGTCCATGAACAATACAACTTTTCACAGAGTGGAGTAGGACAGAGAAAGTTTCCCAGCCAAGGAGACGGTGAAGAGGGAGAAGTAATTTTAGAAATTCCTGGGCCACGTCTGTGCTTGTAAAGAACAAGCTCTACCAGAAAAGCAGCAAATCTCCCCACTACAGAAGCTTTGACCAGTGTCCCAAGTCTGCTCTAGCTTGGTATTGGAAATGGACAGACCTGAAGGCATCTAACTGCTGCATTATACCAATAAGAGAGCTTTTGTTCATCCAAAAATGCTGTGATAGTACCAGAAAATATTTCTAAAGTGCAACTCTCTTTACAGAGCAGTGTCTGCAGAGCCCTGATGCACAAACTGCTGCTGAACAGTCCTCTGAGATCTGCACGGGCTGATCTCACCTCCCCATGTTTCACAGGGCCTGAAGAGGGGATCATCTCACAAAAGAAGCCTATGGATCAGAGAACAATACAATGGACCAAAAATCATGAGAGGTCACGTCTTTTCAAACCCAGAGCAGAAATGCTCCCTTTCACCCTTCGTGAGTTAACATTTACGTGAATCTTTTCCCTGCTGCTCAAAGAAGGAATTACATTATACACACATTCCAGAGAACTTTTCCCAGCAGTAATAACCATTTTTAACATACATTGCACTTGGGAGAATGTCTAGAATTTTACAGGCAAATGCACGGGTGGAGCTGTGTTTTGGCCCGCACAGGAAAGCTGGAAGTTGACATCACCATCCCAGTCAGGCTCCGGAGTCAGGGTGGCCGGCGGGGCTTGGCAGGAAGATGTGCTTGGCAGGAGCTCCCTACCTCTTTGATGGCAGACATCTTGATGGTCTCATAGTAGTGCAGGGGTGCATTGGGTGAACTCATGTCATAGCCAAACCCAGCTACCGCCACCTCATCACAGTTGTGGAGCGCCATGGTTATTGCTACGCTTCCCAGGGTGGGGATGTTCTGAGAGGAGAGAAAGCAAGGAATGGAAGTCATTAGCAGGTTGCCATTTTCACAATCAAAGATTTCCTCTCACTTGTCTCTGCTCACAAGGGCACTGCTGCTACTAAATGGAAAACCAGAAATATGGTTTTTGGCTCTATCTGCACATCAGCTGTCCAGTGCCAGCTTGGGGAGGGCAGCAGCCTCCCAGCTTGTAAGGAAAATCATACATCAGCCGGCTTCCTGTGAATCATCTAGCCCAAAAGCAGCAGCTCTTGTCTGAGGCTCTGTGACATGACTCTCCAGGGGAGAGCACTGAAGGGCAGAGGGATTCATGCAGATGGTCAGACTCCCCTTCAACAACTTTGCCATCCCGAGAGGAGGGCAGCAGATGAGCTGGAGGATGAATCACAATCGGTATGTTAGCTTTCCGAAATTAAAACAGGTGTAAATACCGGATTACAATGCTATGCACATTATTGGCTTCCAGCTAGGCTAAGGAGGAATACTTTTCCCAAACAGGCCACCACACAGGAGCAGAACGAGGAAACCCCAACTGTCCTCTCCCATCTGCTGCCCTGCCATTTGCACTGAAGTCCAGCCTCAGCTCCTCCTGTTTCCCCTGCCTTCTGCCGAGGCCCTGCACAGCTACAACTCCTCCTCTGTGTTCAGATGAACACGACCACCGGGACAGCCAAGTGCTTCCAGTGTAAAATCCTGGCTCACTGACTTTTCTAGCTCCCCTTTAGCCAGATGAATCCAGAGGCAGCTTTGCCCCAGGGGCTAGGGAGAGGCCGAGAAACACACCCACGTATCTTATCTTCATTTGTAGAGCATCCAACACCGGCCGTATCAAAAGTATCACGAACTCAGAGGACGTGCTCAGACAGTCACCAAGGGTGACAGCCTTCTAGCTCAGGTGTAGAAACCAACTGCACATTTATATTTTTCATTGACAGTGGCTTACCCTGAAATGGTGAGCAATGCTTGTTCAGAAAGGTTGGGAACAATGTTTTGAGTTTCTGCTTCTCATTCAAAGGAACCGGTTTTTGTCAGCACACCAACTTGTTCACTTCTGACTGCCTGACCAGTCAGAAGAACAATGTTTCCCAAGCAAAGAATGTCACCCATACCCTACTTGAGATCTGCAGAGCCAGGAGCACAACTCACATGCTACGGAGAAATTCACTATAGTGCCCTGGAGTTACTCTAATCTGAAGACAAACAGGCAAAAACTGCTTATGGATAAGTCAGTGAGACATTAAATTAAAACATTTGCAGCACAACTGTAACAGCGCACATCTGAAATGAAAACACCTTCCTATATCCTCCTGTGCCAGCTCTAGATGTTGGGAAAAAACCCAGCAGAGCCATTGTGTTCTCGCTGCTTAATTTCAGTTGATACTCCCACAAACAATATTGGTTTTATTCTAGTTACTTTAGTTAATTGTTAATTCACCGGTAGCCAAAAAATATCAAGGGGTTTAAGAATATAGGTGTTTAAAATAAATTGGAAAAAGTTTATTAGGCAAGGATATGAACATTCCCCCAAATTTCAAAACATCCAGGAACATCCTGTCTTCCCGGACGTGGCAGCTTGAATTCAGACTTCTCAGCTCTATTTTGCATAGGAGATGACATTTGGATGTCACTGGAATTGCATCAGCTCTTACGTGGACGTGCCACAAACCCCTTTGCCTCAGCAGAGCTGTAGTTACAGTGTCCAAAACACAGTGAGTAAATGGTTACGTCCTTGAGACTGTGTCGTCACTGGGAATAGGATGGTGTTAACACCACCCACAGTTGCACTGGGCCCATTCCCACGCTACAGCTCGAGGGAGACACAGGGTCTTTGCCTGTAGGGAATTCCACTGGCCAAGCTAACATTTAAGAGCTGAACTTTCTAATGTGAGTCTTGCAAACCGCAGAGAATTAATCACACTACCCAACCTCACGGGAGGACTGCCAAACGACCACAACTTTCTTTCAGGCACATTCTTACTTCTGTCTGGAGAACACCAGAAGACAGAAATCGAGAGTGAGCTTTCCTTTGGTCACCAAATATCTGCCTGACTTTATTCTATCTATAATACGTCGTTGGTTTTATGGAAAAATAGGAGGTAATTTTTCTCATCTGCTTCTGTTCTTCATTAGTTCCTCACATGCCAGTACTTCAGTACCACCTGCTCTGCTCTCAAAAATGATTAAAACACCTGAAACTACCTACCTAACTAACTTCTTGAACTGCCATAGATGTATCTGGTTTGGTCCCTACAACTACCAGAGTGTCCTTGCAAGACAGTTTTGCATTGCTCTAAAGTCACATTTAGGAACTGATGATCAGATGGTATTTTTTTAACTGAATTATGCCTTATGGACGTTAGCACCCTCCACCACTGTGGTAGCTACAGCCTAGCACGTACCCCCCTTGAAGACAGAGGTTTGCAGCCATTCACGCCTTTGTTGGTGAGATGCAGCCCCGCTGCTGCAGTCAGAACCCTGTGGGCTACAGAGGAGCCCCTCAAAAATATTGCAAAAACCATGATTCTTGCTGTTCACTGAGGGCAGTAACTGTTAGGGCAGCACAGGGGTGCATGCAGAGCCCACCTGTAATTAACACTGCCTAAGAACATAAAATGTGTGTGCACCCAGATCTAATACACATAACTAGGCACTTGATCCAAACAGCTTACCTTTAAAAAAGAAGCAATCATCAGAGGGATGCAGTAACTGGGGAATTTGACAGCCTTTGAAGAAAAAGGAGCTAGTTTGAGCAGAAGTATAAAAGTAGCATGATTGTTGGTTAACTAAAGGTTAGTACTTTGGTCCTGACTTGGTTTAAGCTGGAGAAACTGAGCCCTTTTCTCCTGGGGCAGCCTGCTGAGCTTCTGCTAGCCCTTCTCCCTGTTGAAAATGAAGAACTACCTTGGGTCCAGCTTGTGGCATGGGAAAGACAAGGCCTTGTAAGATCTAGGGAGGTGTCCCAGGCTGTGCTGCAGAGAAGCCAACCCAGCAGCATTCTCCAGGTGCAAGGAAAGGGCTCTCCTTTCCTCTCCTCTCAGCAAAGAAATGGCAAACAAGTGGAGCCATGTATCAGAGAAGAAATGGTTATAACTACTCTCTGGCTGCATCTACACAGCCTCCAAGCTCTCCTGATTGTACACAGGCACATGAATTCGCTGGCTGCAAAGTTCCAATCTGGATCCAATAGACCATGTACAACCCATGAGGCAAGCTGGGGGACAAGTCACTCCAAAAGAAGTTAGGCATCACGGCCATGGCTGTGCCAAACCTGGCTTGCTATGCCCTGCTCGATGCGTCAGTGCTACCTCACCACACACACCCTTGTGCCGTGCCCCAAAGACATACCAAAGCAACCACCACACCTCCTGCGCTGCGTTAGGAAAATACAACTCTCTCAAACAGCTGAGCAGGCCTCTTGTTATTCTAGGCCTTTGCTGAGAAAAAAAACCACCCCAAATTCCAGCATCCCGCCTCAGGAATAACACCCTGGTGTTGGACCAGCTCAAAGTCTCTCCTCCTGCTCATGGCCCTCCGTGTGCCTGGGTGTTCCTGTATCACCAAGCAATGCTGCTTTCAGCCAAATGGTTAGGAGCAAGAGCCCAACAGTGGCCAGTGCTGAGGCAGGAGCCTCCTGGGATGCCTCCCAGCTGCCCAGAGACTGGCCAGTACAGTTTAGGCCATGGCAAGGGGCTGCCTGGAGTGGCCCAACAGGATCACTGCTCCAGATGTGGCCACGATGAGTTTTGGACCTGAACTGGTGCCCATCAATCAGTGCAAGCTGGGAATGGCAAAGCCCCAGAAAGCACTGGCAGTCCTCTCCTCCTGTCAATTCCCTGCCACAAGCCTTGAAATTGGCCTTGCAAGCTCTGTATTGCCTGCTGTGTGTCAATGGTTTCTGTCCCAGCTGGGGCTCATGGAGATAACAGGTTCAGCATCCTCTCTCCAGTCCTGGTAAACAACAAGGGCAACATCAAAAACATGTCCAGAACTGAAAGTCCACAATTTCAAGCCTGGCCTGCTTGTCTAAGACCAAACATCTGGAAAATGTAAGATCTAATATAATGCTCCCCAGGGATCAGCCCTTTGCCTGGTCCCATTTGAGGGAACGCAGCAGACTGACAGATGAGCCAGAGATGACACTAGAAGGCCCTGTGACAAACAGAAGCAGCAACCACAGCAGTGGTGAGCAACATGTCACCGCAGCAGCGCTGGGCAAAGGCTGCCTGAGCCTCCAGAGCCATGAGTACATGAGTGCCTTTAGCAGTACAGACACAGGACAGGTTCTCCTAACTGCTCCTACACTGTTCTCTGCTGTAAGTGTAAAGATAAAAGGCTTCCCCTCAAGACACTGATGTTTCATCTTCCGCTGGTCCCCCTGAAGAGGCTCTAAAGGTTGACTTCTACTCACTGCTGAAGTCAGTCAGCAGAAATGAACACCAGCCCTCCTCTGGACTCTGCTTGGGGGTGAGCATCACCTCACAGGACTGTGCTGGAGATCCAGCGCTGGTGACTGAACCTGAGCCAGAATTGCTCTTTGCTTGGTGCATGTGAAAACCTCTCGCTGCTTTTCATTCCATGCCCGGGTCATTCCTGTGTCACTGCCTGCTGGACTGGAAGGAAATGACTGCTGTAAATCTGTTTTTAGAAATATTCGACTCCCTTAATATGTTAAATGAATTCCAGTTATTTATGGGATTTTACTTGGCTCAGGGTAAGACTTATTGGGACTGTTCAGACTATTCCAAATGTTACCTTTTTCAATTAAAAAGTGTTACTAAAGAATAAACCCCCTACAAACAATAATGCACCTAGATATTCAAATTGGTTTGACTTACTATATTAAATTATCTGAGGGAAAACCTGAGAAACTGCTTACCTGGGAAAAACTGCTACCTTAGTTTTATCAGTTACAGACCTGATCACCTAATTGCAATGAAGTTTTGAAAACAAAAGACGTAAGGAAAAAAACTATAATAGTCACCACAACATACTCAACAGTATTTTCTTTCTGTTTCTTTATGTTTGCATGGGAGGAACCCCAAACCTGTTCTTCGTTTCCCTTACCTGAAAAGCTTGGAAATATGGCATAAAAAGCAATTTAGTATCATTCACTGTGAGCAGGCCAGTGCCTGGCACTCTGTGGAGTGATCCCTGCCACAGGAACTTACAAGGCACACTGTTGCTCCCACAGCTACCTCCGTTCAGGTACAAAATAAGCCACAATACTGGGATTCAAAAGACAAAGCAGAGCATCTGCTTTTCCTTCAGCTCCCTTAGTTATCCCTTGCTGTGAGTGGGACACAGCCTGCAGAACTGGTGGTCTGCAGCAGAGCAAAGGGAAGGGCCAGTGGCTGGTTGCTGGAGATGTGACAAGCCAGCAATTCCCTTCCAATTCCCTTCTGCCAGCTGACTGCCGAGCTGCAATACACCTCAGCCCAATTCAAGGTACCTTTGACCGTGTCTACCTGAGGCACAAGCTCTGATTCACCACCTGCCACTGAGCAGATTCATGTGCCATGCAGGGAGCATTTCTACAGGACCTAAGGATTTAACAGAGGGCAAGCAAAGGCATGACTTTACTACGTGCTATCTGCTCTGTGATAACCACATATATGCTCACCCCATGCTCAGTGGGAGCTCGTGGCCTACCCTTTCACTGAGAGGCGAATTCCCTTCCGTCACTTCGCATCCCTCACGTGCAGAAGCACGTGGCTGGGCTTTCACCAAGCAGGGGTTGGTTTGCATTTACCTGCTCCCTTCCACTTGTCCAAGCACCTCATGGACTGATCCCACTGCAGTGGGAATGGATGGAACAGTCCAGCTCACAAGGCAGATGTGCTGTCTTGCAAACCCAAAGCAGTACAATAACAGGTCGTCTCTACATTCAACTGATGCAGCTGCAGTGGCCCTTTACCTGTCCCTCTACACATCTTAGAAGACGCCATCAGAGTGCAAAAACAAGAAGCAGCATGTAAATGGAAAGGACTGAGTGGCAGATTGCTCTGCTCCTGCCATCGCCCACCTCTCTTCTGCTTCACAAAGACCCGACAAGTCCAAAGACACGGCCTTCACAGAGTCTCGGTCCAGTAAGAACATCCCAGGAGACAAAGTTTGCTGACCACAGGGCAACTCATGAGAGGAAGGGTCATAACCAGCCAAGGGAGCTGAAAACTGCCTAAGGAGCGAAGGGTCCCCAGGTCTGGCATGTCCAGAACGGCTGACTACCCACAGGCAAAACCACCTAACAGCTAAGAGAAGCCCTGGGCCAGGACCTGCTAACACTCCAGCATCAGAGGTTAATCCCTGAGCTCATGAGGGCTGTCAGCACTCTGCAGAGGTGCTAATCCATGGCTGGGTGCCTAACACAGACTGGTAACACCCTCCTGCACATGGCTCCTCCTTCACCACGCTGGTGCTGAGGCTGGGTGAAGTCCAGAGGAGGAAGCTTTATCTCTGTATAGACTGAGCCATTTCCAGTACATGAGCAAATCAAAGGCTTACAGTTTTGGGCTGTAGACTTTACTCTCATAAGAAGTTAAATCATAAAAAGATCTATGGATGCACAGCACCAGCACAGAGAGAGAAACAAACAAACATCACAGTCTGCACTGGAGTCCTCAGTCCTGATAATTTTTGCAGTGTTCTTCTGGCCACCTCACACCAGGCTCAGGGCTCCCAGAGGAGCCAGAAAGCCACTGCTGCAATGGCTCTGACTGGACAGGACTATTCACTGCACAGCAAAAGGCACCAGGGCAACGACCATCCCTAGCGGTGTGTGTGCCACCAGCAATGATGTCCCTGGACTAATGTTCAGTAAACTGTCTGCAGGGTAAGGGATGCTGCCTGCCTGAACCACCGTCTGCAACACCAGTGATGTCTGATTTGTCTTGACACAGAACTTCCACCTGAACAAAAATCCCATACATACCTTTGGCTAATGAGAAAGCCAGCCCTGTACCCACACTTCACAGGATTCTTTAATTAGAGAGAGGATCTTGACTAGATCATTTCTTTCCTGTTAAACCATCTCCAGGCACTAACATAGATTCTCCCCCAGACATTGCTGGGACCCTTAAGGTTTTTCTTTATCATCAGCTTAACCCAAGAAAAAGTCCACATGCAGCAGGGAACAACTCTCCCTCTCTGAACACTTAAGTAAAGGGACTGAGAAAACTCCTGAAAAACTTTACCAGTCTCAGAGAGAAGTCACTGTCCATTGTGGGTGACCAGTTTTGCTTCTTGCTCAGAATTTTGGCTACTAGTGCTACAAGTGCAATCAAAATGCACATCTGAATTGCATGCCACTGCTATCCTTCAGAACCATCTGGCCCAAATTATATTATCAAAGTAGAGGATGTTACTACATTCACCCTTTATTGAATCCTGGGAAAAACGCTTTGAGATCAGCCCCAAACTATTTTACTAGCTCTCCTCAACCTTGCTGAAAAAGCCCCCAAATTACAAAGTTAATTGGCAGCACATTGTTACCATATGTGGTGTGCAAGAGAAGCACTGGAGTTTATTTAGGCATCAGAACCAAAGAGGAGTGGAATATTACTGCTCTTTACGAGGATTTCGTGTTGCCCTTGATTACTAAGGCATCCCCAACCTTGATCCTCCTGTCCAGCACACCACAGCACACTGCAGCACGGGGGCACCAATCTGCCCCTGGATTTCCCTGGAGAAAATCAGGACACTGTTCGTTGTGCTTTCTGCTTACTAGATCTCAGCATTTCCCTTTCCATGTTCATATGCTTCTTCCTTGTGCAAAGTTTTCCAGGCTGTCTCTCACCTGTAAAGCACGACCCTGAACCCAACCAGCTATGCTCTAATTCTCCTCGCTCCAGCTGACCGACTCACCTTGCTGGATCTCTCGCAAATCTTTAGCGAGAGGTGGATTCTTCATCTACAGGCTCTAATTTCCACTCTTCCCGTTTAAACTCTGAGTGAAAAAAAGTTCAGTAGCAAATTTGTATCACCAGGATCCTACTGAGACTATTCCCTCTTTACACTGGCAGCAGTAGTTCCTCTTGGAGCCTTTGCACCTACAAAGCTCCCAAGCTTTGCACTCATCCAGCATCGTTCTCCAAAGTGTGAAGTCCCTACAGCTCCATGACAGGAGTCCACAGTTGATGTCTGCAGTAAGATTTGTACTCACAGGCTAGAAACATTCTCTCAGCTTTCAAACTCTGACAGAATCCCTACATTTGTGTCCTTGCACAGACTGCCCAGCGTATACTGACTGACATGCCAGCCCCACGCATGCACCTGCAGAGCTGCTGCTGCCCCACCTGAAGGAATAAACTACAATTCACACAGTCTAGTAGGGGTCATGGGCAAAGACTGCTTGCCTTAAAGCGCCATAAACTATTTTTAAATGCTCAAATGGACTTTTGTGAAGTGAAACATCAGGTTTCAATTAAGATGCCTTCACTTCCCAATCCAGTGTGTGTTAAACAACCTATCAAAACCTCATAAACTTCAGTTCACGGCATTTTCATTTCCTGATTCTCTCTTCTCTCAGTTTAAGTAATAACTGCTGTATTAAAATAACGTGTTTAAAAATAAAAACAAATCTAGAGAAAAATAAAGGCGAAAGTCTGATGATTTTTGTCCTTTAGTGGGGCAGAAGTCCTGATTTTCTGGGAGACGAACCAAGACCCCGTCTTTCTAAGGGTAAGTTCTGGAGAATGCGGAGAGGTGAAGTAAATTAGCTCCTAGCTGATGGGAATATTCAGTGCTCCCAGAACAAAAATCCAGTGCTCCCCCAGTCCTGTGACAGCTTCTGTATGTACATACACACACAGAGCAGTGCCTTTTACAAAAGGCCCCTTCCCTGTGGCTGAATCTGCCCGCACATCTCGCACATCGCATTTTAAGAAGGAAATGTCTTATCTCCAGGCACCCACCCATCTGACTTGCACAGAGCAAATGTCTCTAATGTTTCTGAAGTCTTTGTGATATAATTAGAGCATGGAAAATGAGTCACTATTCCGTCTAGTCCAAATCCATGCCGCGACACGGCAAATCTCCTGCGCTGATAGCAAAGGAAGGGGCAGAGCAGGCAGACCTCGTCCAGGGAAAGTGCTTCTCTCTGGGTTTGTCAGATGTGCTAATGTGCCCAAAAATGTCACGTGTGGTCTCTATCAACAACTATATCACATGTGTACATGAGCAATTCACCCACCCAAGTAATGCTTACTCTAATGGCTGATATATTACGTAGAGCAAATATAAATAGGTTCTGAGGACAGCATTGCAATGTGAGATAACCCAGAAAGCCCAGGTCACCACCTACTCCACACTAACACTCCAAAAAGTTGCACTGGGGGTGAGAGATATGAGAACGACCATTAAGGTATTTTGGCCCAAAGAGAAAACCAGAACAGCCTGCTCTGCTGTTTGGTCTCTCATCCTTCTCTGTGGTTTTGCTTCCTTTGCTTTATACCTACCCCTCTGCCCATCAGGCCGTTGTTGAAAGGCAGTCCAATGAAGCTGAAAGCTGCTTCCTGGATGAAGTAGGGATTCAGGATACGTATCTCATGAGGTTCTCTTGGGACACGGGTTGCCACTGACTTCCAAAAGCCATCAGAAGCACTCTGGTAACAAGAACAAAAAAGGAACAAGAAAAAGAAAGATAAAACAACAAATAGTTATATACAAAATATAGTAGATTTCTATTATTTTATTTAAAAAAAAATATTAAAATGCACTAATGGCAGCAGTTCCCACTGTCCCTGCTCACTGCCACAGGGCACCAGGATAAGGTTGCAGGGGATCAGTGCACGCTGGAGAGGTGACAGCAGCATGGACTGACGCACTTGAGCTAGTCTGGATAGTAGCTGTGAGGAAGACAGGCAGGCCTGGGCTTCAGCAGGAATGACCCTGTCCCTGGTGCCATCTTTTCACTCTCACTGGCACTTCAGCCACACAGTTTACCATTTACATGGCATAGCATGGAGTACCCCCAAAATAACCAGAGGCTTCGTGGTCACAGGACTTAGAGAACTAATGTTTAACTAATATTTAACTACTGCTCAGCTTAACACAGAGCAGGGCACAGGGAGCGTGGCAGGACTTTTAATCTGCTAACCAGCAGCCTGGGTAGGATAATCTGATTGAACGCCTCCTTCTCGCAGCATTGAGACATCTTCCCTGTGACCTCCCTGACAAGCAAAAGAGACAGGCACTACACCCTCCATAAAAAACACACGGTTTGGAATTCAGTATTTACACCAGCTCTGGGTTGCTCACCAGCTTAACAGTGACTTTACAGCTGCCTTCAGGGCACTGCTGAAAATGCTGGTGATCCCCTGCAGAACCCTCAGGAGCTTCCCCTGGCCGGGAGCGATCACCCACTGTAATTATCAGCGGGAATTCTCCCGCAGCCGATGCCTGCTGCCACCTCACACGCTCCCTGCGCTCGGAGCCTCGCGCTCGGCTCCTGCGAACTCCCGCACCCCGCGTTGCCAAACACCTCGCTGAGGGCTTTTTACGGAACGATCCCACGGATATCTTTAGCTGCTGAATCTCGTATCCCGAAATTGAAACTCTGGCAGATGGCTCGTGCTGCAAAAGGCACTGACACAGCGAACTCGAGGGGGATGCACAGCGTCATCCTGACCAGCAGTCTGAGAGAGCCAAACCCCACGGCTGTCCCGTGCCCCCTCAGAACTGCCCAAACATAACACACTTTGGACGACCAGGGCGAGCATCCCATGAGTTGAGGTTCACATTTCAACAACGGTGAAGTGCTCTCAGGACCCGAAACGGAAAAAATTTCTAATTAACACTCACGTTCTTTCATCATAGTTGAATTAGAAAGAACGCCCAGTGTCAGAGCAGTCTAACACTTTCCATTACAATAAGACATTTTCAGCCACTGAATGATCCCAGCATTTAAAAAAGAAAAACAGAAAAAAACCATTATAAATGTTAATAAACTCCAACATCCATTTGACCGAGGGATTTGAGGGATTTGGTATGTCAGCTGAGTTTTGCCTCCTTGTGAAAATTCATTAAAAATTGGATAAATATTAAACCTTTGGAATTTCCTAAAGGCACAAGTGAAGTAGAGGCCTTTCAGTTCCAGGGAAGGAGAGGGAAAAAAAAAATTAAATAAAATCACAGATTCCACTTGCATTAAGCATGCTCCAAGTCTCACAGAAATGAAGATGATAAACAAAAGTCTTGAACAGCTACTCATTCAGTGAAACCATCTTATCATAGGCTTAAGCAGGCACACCCTGGAAAAATAGTGTGTGACCTCGAAACTAAAATAAATTTATAAGTTCAATTACAATTTCACATGCAACTCTAAATATGGCATCGCCTAAATTTTGCAAACAATTCAAACCAAAGGTCTGCAAACTACTTAAAGTGGACAAAAGATGTCTTTTGTTTGGACTCACACTCCATAGGAGATCCCACTTAAGTTCTGGGATTTAAGTAGGTTTTACACGGCTTTTACATTACACACAAAACATTAAAGAGAAAAGAAGAAAGATTATAAACATTGGAGACTTTCATTCCTTGCTGCTGCTGGAACTGTCCAGAAAGAGGTAACTACACATTCCACTGCTGCTCATTTTCCCAGCACTGTGTGAACCACGATGACCAGACCTGGGCTCCCCTCAGCTTGTTCAATGCCAGTGCAAAATAAATGTGGGTCCCTATTCCTAGCTGGAAATACAACCTGTCTGCTTTGGTCCCTTCCATGTAGCTGTTTCTCCCGTTGCTCGTCACGACTACCTCCCTAACCAGTTTCCTCAGCTATCACACTGCTCTGAAATTGCTCTGGCTTCTCCTTTCTGTCTCATTTCTATTTGCTCTGTATTCTCTGTAACTTTTCGGGGCAGTTCCCCTCAGATTATTACTGAGGGTCACCTGGGGTGATCTTTCACTTTGGTGTGTTTCTAAAACAACCGTGGGGAGAACAGTGGAGCCTCAGCAGGTAGCTCTCACACTTCCCCCTCTACAGCAGGCAAAGCCCCGTACGGGGCCGAAGAACCAAAAACCCGCTTTTTCCAGCTCGTAATTACTGACATCCTCAGCCTTGTGGTTTGGCTCCCCGAGCCCTGCAGCTCTGAGCTGCGCCCCGAGCCCTGTGGTTTTGTTCTGCAGCTCGTCCCTGGCAAGCCACGAAAGGCAGCAGCACCAGCAGCACCAGCAGCCCCGGGAAGCTGCTCCCCCTGACGCAACCCCCTCGGCGGCAGCAGCAACGCCAGCCCCTTCCAAGGCTCCGCTACCGCGAATGCTCGCTGGGGATGCTCGGCCTGATTGGACCCAGATGTTCGGAGGGGTTTCCAAGGCAATTACTTCCCGTTGATGGGGGGGGAACGCTGTCCCTTTTTAGGTCAGCAGCCACCCGAGGAGCTCGAACTCGCAGCTGTAGGTTTGGGGGCACCTCCTGTTCTCTGCTACGGCGATTAAACCCGCGGGGCTTACGGGTGGGCTTCTAAGGATGAAACAACTCCTGACTGGCATAATAAGTAGTCAGAAAGTAAGTCTGAAAACTTGCTTAGGCAACGTTCCCACAGTGCCTCATCACCTCCTGGCATTGCGGTGGGAACCGGAGGGTCCAGGCTGGAAACTGTGTTTCCCTCCCTGTGTTAAGTTCCCAGCGTTAAAATTTGTTAGTATGTTGCTGTTACTGTGCGTCCAGAGACTCAGCCACAGATCAGTATTCACGGTGCCAAGGGTGGCCAAAAAAACCCCCTTATAATATAAGCGTAACAATCCCAAGCACCACAGAGAGAGGCAGACAGGAGAAGATGACTATGAGAGCCAAAGCACTTTTATGCAATCCTGAGTATTTTCAAAACTGTATGACTGCAAACGGCATCACTAAAGACTTTTTAGAGGAGGCTACTTTTAAAAGTACCTAAGAATGTAGATAGGCCAGGGCTTTTAAGCCAGCCTCTTGTACACCTCCCATCCAGGCAGAAAGAGACACCACCCCAGGAATAAACCAGTACAGATATGACAGACCAAAGATGGCAGGTTATGAGGAAGCCATAAAAAGTGGCAGGGCTCACCAAATAGCCCCAGAGACAAGACAATCCAGCTGCAATCCATCATTTTGTCCATTTGCAGAATACTGAATGGTAATAGGCACAGCCGGCTGTAAACTATTTTTTGTCTCCATTCAGTTTTCCATCTCCTGTTCTCAGATTTACCAAGGCAAATCACAACAAACACTAAAATAAAATATGGAAACTTGGAGCCTTAGCCAAGAAGCACACCTCACTGGAAGACACAAACCACTAGAAGGCCGAGTCTCTCAGGATAACAATATTTATAATATAATGAGCAAAATGAGGGGTAGTGTCACTGCATCCTGATAACACAGATGCTGCCTCTTCTGTACCTCTGTATCCCTACTGGATTTAGGATTACAAGCAACATTGCTCTCCAGGACTTCTAACTCTGATGGGAAGGGGACAGGGAGATTGCAAAGGTCAGCTACATGCAACACAAAGCTGAATAAGTTCAGGGTACGCAACACCTGCTGTAGAGCAACAAGGTGAACAGACTGGAGAGGCAACATGGGGTAAATGGAGATTACTGCTCTGTCAAACACTGGTAACACCAGAAATGGAGAGGAAGAAGGATATGAGGAAAAGAAAAAGTCAGGGGGTGATGTACCAGTCACAAGACCTAATTGTGCCTGGGATATCACAGTTCACTGAAATCTCTGCCCCCACCAAAGCTGGAATGTGGTTTATTCTCTACCTGCCATCCACAAGCACCCATTGTCACACAGTCTACAGCAGAACTGCTGCAATCCATCTGCAGAGGCTTTTGAAAGGTTTCTGCTCAGTCATAACTGGATTAGATGTGGAAGGTGTGTTTCCACTACAAAACAACCATCTTATCAGCCAGCGCTGCATTTCTCAGCGGTCAAGTAGACATGGAGGCCCGGAAAACGCTCTTCTACAAGTGGTAATATAAATGAAGTTGCATCATTTGCACCAATTATCACAGCAACAAGGAATTTTTAGCAACAAGAACAGAGGTGCTGAGAGCCTGCAGTCTGGGTTGATGGTCAACTGCCAGACCCACTAGCCCACACTTCAAATATATTTACCCAACTTCCTCAAAGTGATGAAGAACCCCTCACCACCATCTGCATGTGGCTCTGATGGCCAGCACTCGTTCTGAGTGATTCTATCTTCAGTTTCTAGAGTCCAGAAATGCTCTAGAGACCAGACCATTGTGTTCTACTCTTATCTGCCCCACTGAAAAGCTCTTGCTCTGCCTGAAGCAGGAACACTGCTCAAGCCCTTTCCTTCATCTTCCCTTTGCTCTGCTGTCAAAAGAGATGCAGCTGTTGGACTGTGCAACAACATGATACTCCTAATTTTTTCATAATTTTTGTTTCTCCTCCCCAAACATCCTCTCACTGACCAAAGTCTAAAATCAAGTGGCTGAAATTTCCCAGGTTGCTCCTCTGTCAGTATTCCCCATCCGCCAATATCCTTGCAGCCCCCAAAAGAACTCTTGACAGGTTGTAAAGACCACAAATGTAGTTTTAAGCAATGTTTCTCAGTGTGAAACACTAATGCATTTTATACCTAGCAAGCAAAAAGCAGCAAAG